AAAATCTATGAAGGAAAATGATTTATGTTACACAACAGTGCACTACAGCAGGCAAGCCATCCAACACTGTCAAGAGCAGGAGTTCCTGATGGTGTTATTTGATGTGAAAAGCATTTTACGAAGACTGTTTTCAAAATAGCAGAAGGAATCGAATAAGCAGATATACAAAAAAAAAAAAAAAAAAACCAAACACCAAGAAACAACAACAAAAACTTCCAGCTCAAGGTCTCTGTAAAGCCCATCCTTTGGCGCAAGATTAAGATTAGCTCTCTTGCAAAAAAAAAAAAATTGTTTAAGAAAAAACAAAGTTAGTATAGAAATAATACAAAGCCTTTGTAAATGTTTACTTTAACTAAAATGAAATGGTAAAACTCTAAACAGACATTCATGCTATTTTATTATCAGTCCAAGTGGACACCTCCAATTTCCATTTGTTATCTTTTGCTCGCTGGAAAACTTTCAGACGTTCCATCAGCAAAAAGTTTTAACAGGGAGTTTGTAAATTCATTTCCTTTGCACACAAAGATTTACAACCTTCATTAAAATAGTCCATGCCTTCTTGAGTTTGTGAGTCCAGCACTCCTGACTCCCTTCTCCCTAGGTGTGCTCTTCTGCCTCTGGTTTTGCCCCACCAATGATCCTTAGGCATATCTCATAGGCCTTTCAACATAAACATTGACACCAGCTGACAGCTCTGTAGACTCAGGTTTTATCCTCTCTTTGTCTTTATAAAATCTGCATTGCTATCCATTTGATCTCACTTTTCTATCCATTCCATTCTACAGGATATTTTCTATTCTATTCTGACAGCTACCTCCTTTTCCAGTTTACCTCAACAAAAGTGCCCTGCAATTGTGCAAATCACACGTAACACATCTGAAAGTAAGTGGGTTGACAATAAGGTATAGATAAATAAAATCGTCTATACTCAAATTTTATTGAAAGGAAACAGTTTGAAACATGTCCTCCACAACTAGACTGAAGAACAAAAAGGACAGAAACTTGTCTTTTCCCCTTCCCTGATCCCCCAATTCCCCAATAAAATCTTAAAAAAAAAAAAGCTTGTAAAAGAAATTAGGTAAAATCTCAGATCTTTATGATATACTCCATCAAATCAAAGTATAAAAATTGATTTTTATCTCCTTATAAAAACACTAGAGTGAATGGAAAAGTTCTTAAGCATGACGTAGATGAGAGAAAAAAAATATTTGATGAATTGAATATATTTTTTCTCTTTTGAATGACAGTAAATTTAGAGTAAATTAGCTGTAAAAGTGAATTATATGCAACAGTTAATTTTAATACCAACTTCAGGCACGCAAAAGCAATTAAGTATATTTCCTGGAAACACTGCAGTGGTAGCGATCCATTGCATGGGATATGTCTCAACACAGTAGCAACAGTATGTTTTGTAATCTTCTGGTTGATTTGGACTTCAATGGTAGCAACATAAGTGATTATTGTTAAGGTAAATAAAGCAGAGTAATGCTTTTGTATATCAGATATTTTGGAGCAATTGCTAGGAGAGAAGTTAGACCATCTCTGTGCTTAGTGTTGACTCTGATATTAAATGTAATAAATAAAAATAAAAGAGAATGACGAAGACCAGGAAATGGGGGTCATCTTGGAAGCAGATAATTGCAACACTTGGAACATGATTTTAAAAATAAATATGAAATCCAGACCCATACCACAACATGTATTCCCCTGGCTCAAGATATAAATAAATTTTAATACAGAGGAATTTTTCCCAACACTAAAGCCAAATAGTTGTTGCACCTAAAAATTCATTTTCTTGCTCAACACCATATATTAAGTGCTCAATGGCGTGTGTAAGTAAAATTTATTCCATTGGGAAGAGTCAGTCTTCCTAAACCTAATATCTTAAAAATAAAAATGAGTTTTTGGTATTCTTGAAAAGGTTCCATCATGTAAAATAAGAACATTCTCAAAAACCAATGAATAGAATAAGTTGCATATGAAATTCAACTTCCACTATGCCAACTTCCTTAAGAAAGGGAACATATTAATCTATTTCTTTAAAGGTCACACCATTTGGATGTTAAAACGGGACACAGATTGGTTTTTGTGTGTGACTACTTTAACACCATTATAAAGTGAGCTTAAAAAAAATCTCATCTGTAAGTTTGACAGCACAAATTTTCATGAGAGACATTGCTTGGCCATTATTATCCCTTCACAATATCCCAATATCCTCTATCCTCTCCCTCCCCCCCCCCGCCCCCCACAGTGTGATATACAAAAGAAACTCACACTTTACAGGGAGTCTCGATTTTATCTACAGGTTATGGTCCACATTTTAAATAAAGTACCAAAGTGGAAGCTTTTCAGAAATGAAAAGAAAAGCGCAAAAGCCAAAAGGTGATCTCCCAATGTAACATTTAAAATGAAATCTGTTTATTCAACAGATTTGTTCTTCACTTTCCTCCAAGACTGCCAGTTATTAGAGTCTTTCATGCCACCGAGCCCTTTCCCACCCAGTGACTTTCTCCTTCCTTCACAGTAGCCTTTTCCGTGAAGCAGGACGAAGCATGTTCTCACAGCAATTGTGCTAAAGGGAGCTTCATTGAGATTAATAATGGAAGGGACTTTGCACTTCTTGTCAATCCGCCTAAGTGGTTCCTCTTTTGGGCTCACCAGAGAAGCCAGCAAAGGACTTTCCCTGACAGGCCGGAAAAGAGGGAGAGAAAGGGCAGCACACCCACATTTACAATCTCTGGGGAAACTGGACAAATATTAATGAATCCATATTTTTGGTTGTGCTTTGTATGCAGTACTTACTAACTGCATGCCAGCTATCCCCAACTGTGGGAGGAAAATCATGCGCCTGTTTTCTTCCACAAAGAAGACATTTTTCAGTAATCTCTTGTCTTGTTTTAATGTAACAATGACTAAATAAATAGAAGGCCAACCACAAAAATTGAATGTGTAGAACCTCATTTCCGCAGAAGAAAATGAAGAATTCTGTCAACATTAATTAACGTAGTGTCTGAGTAAAAATAGAAAATATGTTTGAGTAAAATACTCTAAAATACTAGAATTCATTGCCTCCAGATAACTGAGGCAATAGTTATTGTGAATCAACAATGAACCCATCTAATTTTATGAAAGTATTGTGTATGAAAGATGTTTGTGGGCCGGCCGAGTAGCACAATGGTTAAGAACTGGCTTGGGACGCCAGAGGGCCCCGGTTCGGATCCCACATGTGAGGGCCAGTGACACTGCCCTCTACAGCTAAGATGCTG